CATCCCTCTCTTAGTGCCCATGAGCCATCACTTCGGCCTTTTTTTTTAAAAATAATTTTTTAAATCAGTATCTCCCACTTTCTTATTCTATTGCCCTCTGGACTATCAGTCTGGCAAAATCACAACCCCTGATTTATCCAACTGTGTATATTTTCTCCAAGTCTACCTCTAGGTCCCAGAGCACTGCTGGAGAAAATCAAATAACTGATACCCTTTAAATTCATGGTCACCACCTCAAAGTGTGCCCTCAATGCTGTCCAAGTATCCTCCTGCATTTCTCGTCAGCCCTTGTCTCTCATTCTCCACAGCAGCGACTTATGCAACTTAAACTCCATGCATCTTAAACCTCCAATATTTCTACCCCATTCACTACTTCACAAGCTAAAATCTACTAGATTATACCTCCCTTAACTTTCTGCCTTAATACTTCCCAATGTACCTGAATCCATCTCCAGACTGGATTCCTCCTGTGATCATGAAGAAGAGACCCTGCTCCTCTCTAAAAGTGATGCTCTGGTTCTTCCTCACCACCACTCCACTTTTTCAGGGATATTCCCTCCTCTCTGTCTGTGGTCTTGAACCTCTACCTCTCTGCTGGCTTTATATTCTTACCAGTTAAATACCTTCAAGTTTCTAGCATCTTACAGCAATCACAAGCTTCTCTAAACTCTGTAGCTTTATTTTTCTTCTATCCTTGAAGAGGCACTTTTTGAAAAGTTGTCTACACTTGCTCTATCCAGTTCTTTTCTCATTCACTTCTCAACCCAACTCACTTCCCTCCCCACTCCACTCTTGCTACTAAATTGCTCTCCCTAAGATACCAAAGACCTGTGTCTGGATTAATCCAATACACGTTTCAGTCTCTCCCTTGCTTTTTTTCTTTGTAGTATTTTCCCATCCTTATGGCATTCATACCAATAATTACTACTCCAAAATCTCCTTTGCAGGCATTCCACTCTGATCCCCACCTTCTCTCTTTCTAGATCATTTACTTAGTGCCCCATCCCAGCATATCTCAGATTTCATCTGGCCTGGATGCCAACTTTTGGCTAGGTGGTTAGGAAAGGCCTCTGAAGAGATGACATTTAATCCATGACATAAATAGCAAGAAGCAGTCACCATGACTGAACACTCCAGGCAGAGAGCAGTTAACACAAAAGACCTAAGGTGTGAACAAGCTTGCATAGCCCATGAATAGCAAAAACGACCGTGTGTCTGGAGCCTGTGAGTGAGAAGAGTGGTATGAGACAAGGTCAGAGAAACAGTGGCCAGGTTAGGTAGGGAGAGAATGGACTGGAGAAGGAACTGGACTAGGGACTCAAAGAATGGCCATGTGAAGCTGAAGACCATGACCTTGTAGCAGCAGAACTTCATGGCTGTGTTGCTCTGAAGTTCAGTTTGGAAGGCTTTTCCATACACCTATTGTGGTTTCTAGTTTTGTTTTAAAAAGTTATGATGTCTGGCTCTTTCAACTGATTAACTTACTCAAGATGATCTGGTGTGCCTTTGGGAACTGGCTCAACTTTAAAACTACTAGAGCAACACCTAAACAACAATAAAATGTTCAAAGAAAAAAGGAGGGTGAGAATGGTTGCACAGCTTGAAGAACATAATCAGTTGCTGAATTATACATGTAGAAACTGTTCAATTGGTGTGTTTTGCTGTGTATATTCTCAACAACAAAAAATAAATTATTCAAAAAAAAAAA